TATCCGGCTATATATGAATACCTTATTGACAGTAAAGTTTATGATTACCAAGAAATGCTTAATTATATGAGTGTTGACTCTTATACTTATTTTTCAAGTGATGAAATTTTAATAGTAAATTGTCACAAAACATTTGTTTCCTTAAGACAAATGTAGAGCCATCACAAACCCTATCTGCAAGTAATCATTCTGTATGAACTTGTGTATTTATTGATAGTAAAGTTATTTATCTAGTTAGATGTGCTATACATGTCTGGTTACTCATTCTTTTCTTAAATTTTTATCACGTGGAAATGAATGTAATGGAACGATTGAATTCATGGACAATCTCGATGCACCATGCTTTCGTGTACTGTACTGTACATCGCATACAGTTTCAAACCACTTATAAAGAACTCTCTGGCTATTATAACGGCCAATCACTTCAAAATATCTATCTGAATCTATATCTAGGGCGACTTGCCTTATAAAACCAAAAAGGCAAATCTCCAATGTAAAACTAAAAGTTACTGATCTACACTAACTAGAGTTACAGTGGCTAGAAAATACAGTTTCGAAAGCGCTTATATTCCTCCATTATAACCGTTCGGTCCATACGTCGAGGTTAGTGACGTCACAAACAAGTTGGCGCTATGTCAATCGTAGGGCTACTTTCGCTTTGGCTACATAATATCCATTCATACAAGAACATCGAAAGTGATTAAATTTGTATTTGTAAAGCGAATAAATCCTTAGGAAATGTTAATCAAATAATGGCTGAACAAGAACCAAACACCTGAAAATCAAAATCAGGTACGTGTTTTGTTCCATTGTGTAGAACAGGGTACCGATCCTGCACAGAAAAAAAAAATCACTTTTCTTGGTGCCAAAAGACGACAATCGACGAAAAGATTGGGAAAAGTTAATCAGACGCAGTGACTTAACTTTGGACCCATGGCATAGGGTTTGTGAATTACACTTCGAGGAACATTTTATAATCAGAAATTGGAAACATATTGTGAATGGTAAAGTTATTATCCCCCGTGATGTTCCAACACTGTCTGTTGATGCAGTTCCTACTAAGTTTGAAGGTTACCCAAAGTACTATAGTAATGTTTCACTGCCAAGGAAAAGATCAAATAGAAATTTAAGTAATAACACAAACAAGAAGAAGAATGTCAACCCTCCTCTTCTCTCTTCAGAGGAACTAGACATCGAGCCAGAATTGTCCTAAGCATCTTCCATATTTTCATTCCTTCAGCTTAAAGATTTTGAAAAGCTAAAAGTGCCAGATTTCTGGATAAAGTGCCCTTAAAAAATGAATCTAATTTAATTGTATATGCAGAAAACGAGCTAAAGTTAGAGGACAATAGTGCTAGTCTAAATGCACTAAAGTTAATAACTTTTGCCCAGTATGAAAATGTATTTTCATGCAAAATATATATCAAGGGTGTTCAATTTGAAAATATTTCACCAATTTCTTTTTTGCAGCAAGCTGAGGATATTATTGAAAATACAGATAAGTTGAAAATATACAAAAGTGCTGCAACAGAGACAGAATTAGAATCAAACGTTTTGTTTGGCTTTAAAAATATGAAACATTCATTTGGCTGTATCCACAGTTGAAAATGTTTGGTTATTGCTAACAATGGTAAATCCTGCATCCCCTGCAAATATACAAGGCATTTACTTATAAACCGTAAATCTAGACAAAAAAAAAACTAAAGTTAAAACATCAAAAACTGTGCGAAAGCCTCAACGTACTTACAGAGCTTTGAATAAAATAAATTCTAGATTAAGAAGGAAAGTAAATAAATTACAGTCTGTAATCACTCAAATTCATACATCAAACAGTAAAATTCAGCAGTCTACATTGGAAGAAAAATAAAATCATTGTCTGCAAAGAACAGCTAGCAGTAAAGCACTGTTTTCTAGCATCCAAACGTAAATCCAACAGTGGTTTACCTTATGACCTAGAATGGATTTTGGAATGTATTATCATGAGGATCAAAAGTCCCAGATTGTAAGAGCATCTTAGAATCAATAAAATTCTTGCACTACCATGCCATAACACAGTTCAGAAGTATATGATAAGTTGTTATATTGTTCAATATTCAATTTTTAATTAATATTAGCTGGAAGGACCCGCTTCGCTGGGTTTTTATTTGTATGTAATATAGTTTTTTTATATATATAAAAGACTGTTTTTCTAAGTAATCTAGAATCTAGCTGCAAGGACCATCATCGCTGGGCAAAAAGTAACGATAGTGGATATTAAGATAATTACATTATAGCCAATCTTACCCGTTTTCACAGAATGCAAGAATTGGGTCCCCCGTTTCCAGACTAATTAGAGAATTTTTACGTTTAGTCAAACGAACTATTTTCAACGTTTCTGGAACGTTTACAATCGTTCTATAATCGAACCAATATTCGAATTTTATGTTCGAATTTAATTCGAACAAAACATTCGAAATAGAAAGCCACTTTCAACCACTTTCAGCCTCATATCTCCCCATAT